AAAAAAAAAAAAAAAAAACACACTATAAAACGGTATTAAAACCCTAACACAAAAACACTGTCCGAGTTAAAATGAAGCGTCCAACGAATTCAACGAAATTGTCGAATTGCCAACTTTTTCATTATTGATCCAAACATGTCAAAACTGGACACATGTACCCTAAAACACATATATGCCACACACAAAGAAAAAAACAAGAAAAAAAGCAAAAAATCAGCACAATGTGACAGCTTCGGTGCAAAATTCGCTGAAAATAACACCCCTGTTTCTTCAATAGTTTTGCCACCACTTGCATTGTGTGCATTTGCACAATGCACCGCTCCTCAAGGACACACACTCAGCCACCAATACATTGCAAGGATACTAACTTTTAAGCCATTACTGCCGATTGCTCGAGAGATTCATCGAAAACTCACCAATACACCAACGTCTGCCTGGGAAGCTCCTGAAATCATATTAGGTACATAGTTCTTGTGGCCCTGTTTTTTGCCAACACAAAATAAAGTACCAAGCAACCACAACGATGAAGGAAGCTCAAACTTCACTGAGTACACACGATAAAGGAGGTCGGGGGGGCGGCGGGGGGGGGGGGGGGGGGKGGCCGTTGTGAAGAGCATAAGATATTCGAAAATTAATTCATAATCTTAATGGATCTTCTTTATCTCACTCACACAAATACATGGAAAAGGGTAGGCTTTTATTTTTCTGCATGAACCACTATACCTTCCTTGCGATTACACAAATGAATAACCAATGCAACTTCGCTTCCGGAAGACAAGGTACTAATGTAAATAGAGAAAAATCAACCGAACCCACAAACAGTACCTTTGCCAACAGATGTTAGCAGCCAAAACAAGGGCCAGTGCGGCTCCACCTGCATTAGAAACGAGTGTGATGGATGATGCAATGACTGGGTGAGAGAGCCAAAGAGAGGGTGGGAGAAGGGCAATGACAAAGTTTAAAGTGATATGCATGGGCACTGTTGGATGGTTCGAGAAAGTTCAGTGATGCGCATTCAGGTGTGAATAGCAATTAGGCCAGAAAAAGAACCAACTCCGACTGCGACTGCAACTGGGGGAGAAAATCTCCAACCCATGATGCTGAACTAAGCAAGCGGACGCTCGGCTGGTCGAAAGGGCGGGGTGGGGGGGCGCACGTGCGCGAGAGAGAGAGAGAGGGGGAGAGAGAGAGAGAGAGAGAGAGAGAGAGAGAGAGAGAGAGAGAG